TCCAACCCTTATGATTCTATGATTCTAGGAGCTGAGAGGAAAGGCAGAGGGTTATTAGTCTGGTACTCAAGATGCCTAGCTGCTTTTCCTTCAAGTGGCACAAGCTCTGTGTGATCAGATTTCTGCATCTCAGATCCCCAAATGGAAAACTGGAGTAACAGTATTTATTTTCATTCAAATTCTGTAGTTAAGAGCTGTAAGATTAAAAAGTTGAGTGTCCTGAAGTTCTGTGCCACTAAACTCTTCTTGGAAGCTAGATGCATTTTTATCATCCTTGCAGAACTTAATCATTGTAGAGAAGAAATTGCTCAGTAAATGTTTTATAAGAACAACCCTTCCTACCTTACATAAAACATTAGAAAATAATTTATCTTGAGGATATATGCCAAGTACTTGATGTTTATAACAAAAAAAATCAATGTAGTTTGACTAACAGGGATTAGTATTTTAAACAAGTTTTCTATAACCTCAGCATTAATAGTTCTCAATTCAGTCTATGATTGGATCTCTAAGAGAAACTAATGATGATCAAACTGAACTGTGTATCCTGTAACACGTTATAACTGCTTTGTGAGGTGGATAACAGCCCTATGATTGAAATTCCTTCAATTCAAGAACTCCAACCTAAAAGCTCTGCATTTATCCAACACAGAAGTCTTCTCGGGTACAAACTGGTTGATCTTTGTGCACTATTCAGGGCTGACATTGCTTTTCTGACCTTTTACTTTAAAAATTCTTTGTATTTTGGGGCACAGAATCATATATTCTTCCGAAGGTTCTGATTTGTGTTCCTTGAGCCTCTGAAGTGGCTTAAGATGTTTTGCCCATTCGTAGGCAGATGGAGCTTAAAAATCCTTTGCTGTGGAGTGGCACAACTGCATCACGACCACATGTTCTCAGCGCTTCTAACCTCCGTCACAGCTACAGGGCAGACAGAAAGGAGTGTTACAGCACAGACTGTGCCAGCAAGATTCAGCAGAGCTCGTGTCAGAGTTGTTAGTCAAAATTATGTTCAGTTCACAGTCAACAGTTTGTATCGTCGTTGTTCATTCTCTTTGTTTCGTGCCAGACAGGATTGTTTTCACGACTCTTAAATCTTTTTTATTTTGATATTTAGAAAAGAGAAGTCTCTATGTGGTATGTGCAGAGTCCAGTATGAAGTCAGTGAGAGAAATTCCTTTTAAATTAGCAGCGGAGCCCAAAATTGCAAAATCTTCAGGGCTCTCAAGAGCTTTGTTATGTTATTTGTTATCAAATGCTACCTTCCTTTGTTAAACTGTTCAAATGGATTATTCAGTTAATTTGTTCTAAAATCTCCTGTATTTTAGAATAATTTGTTTCAAATAACCAGGTTGATTTGGCACAAAAGAAACAGCATAGTTTTCGTATTTCTTTTTGTGGCTTGTTTTTTCAAGAGATTTTTTGTATTTTTTTTTGTTGTTGTTTTTTTTTTTTTTTTTTTTTTTTTTTTTAAGTTTCTCCAAGTTCTGTTTGAGACAAGAAAAGTTGGTGGGTCCTTTTCTGGTTTGCACCATTGTGGCTTAACTTTTCCTTGGTTCCACAAAATAAGAGTGTATGTGTTTGGATTTGTTTTAGGATTAATATAGTATGGGCATTTTAATTCTGTGAATAAATATTTATTCTTCAGTAGTTCTTATCATCATGTACTTTTTCTACCTCCTCGAGCAGTCTTTCCAATAGAAATTCAAACTATTGTAAGGCAAGTAGTGGGGGGGAAAAAAGAAAAAAAAAAAAAAAGGGTTTCAGGAGCAGGTGCCAAGTCTTTTCAAGGTTAGTAGCCCATATATAATGGAATATGGTGACCTTCAGGAAACATAATGATTCATAAATAAAAAAATACAAGAATCTTGCACTTCACTGCGCAACTCTGTTGACCCTGAAATCCAACCATCACATGTGAACTAGTAGAAAGTTAGTGATAATAAATAATATCCATTGCTGTTGACAGTACCATAAATGTTCATCATAATAAATACTGAGAACAGAGAAACATACAAGTTAAATATAATCTGGGACAACACAGTACAAACTACAGGAGTGTAAGGTTCAAAAGACTATCTCTTTTTTTTTTTTTTTTTTTTAATCAGTACCAAATGTTACCTGAAGTAGATGTGCTTTTTGGACCATAAAAGTGGAAAAGTCTGTCAAATGGAGCCTGCTCTTTCTATGAGGTTGTTATAGAAGTCAAAAGCTCCAAGTTAAGCATTTCAAGATTTTAATTTTTAAACACTGGCCTAAAAGCAGGATAACATCCTGATGAATTAGTTTGTTTTGGCACAATTTGGGTTTTGGTTTTTTTTTTTTTTTCCATTCAAATATATACTTAGCAAATAAATATGTTGTTTCTGGGTGGCTTATCTTCAAAAATGTATAAATATATATTTATATAATACATATTTATCCTAATTTCTGTTTTTTTCTTTTGCCTTTGCAGTTTATTGTGGAGTGTCATGGGAATACACTTCTTCCACAGTTTTTGGGCATGTACCGGCTTACTGTCGATGGAGTTGAAGTATATATGATTGTTACAAGAAATGTGTTCAGCCATCGTTTATCTGTTTATAGAAAATATGATTTAAAGGTGAGAAAGAACTGCCGATGAAATAATTGACAAAGTAGCAGAAAATCTTACTGTGTTATATTATGCTGATGCTTGAATATTGCTCAGAATTTTGATTTCTGTTTGTGTTATGTAAGAGCCAGCATTTACTGGTTTACTTCTGCATCTAGGTTTAGCGAAACTGAGAGCTTTTATAGAAATCATACAGATTGGTTGTATTGTGCATTTTTTAAATGAAGCAATTAAACAAACTATGTTTGTTGCCTTTAACCATTAGTTACATTTAAAACCCTTCATACAAGTACAGTAATCATTTTACTTCCTGTAGGTTTTTATCAGCACTATGGAAAGCTACAGCTGACTCTTCAGAGGGCTTTTATAAAAACTAAATATCATCATCATTTAAACTAAAAAATACTACTAACAAAGTACATCACTACTACAAAAGCTTCATATTTCACTCTATATTTTTTAAATACTTCAAGTAAAAAGGGAATGTTCTTAAACCAAAACAACTTTTCTGCTCCTTCTATTGTAAGCTGTTTTAGTTTTGTTTCAGGTTTATCTGCTCATTGTGATTTTGCCAATAGTTAATATACAGTGCTTACAAGTGCCCAGAATATAGTCTTAGTCTTCCTGTCTAAGGGATTGTATTTTAATTTCCTTCTTGAAGTCTCCCCTTAGAAACCTATTTCTTTCTAATACATTTTATTTCTATGTGTTGAGCCACTAAATGCATCTGTGAACCTGTTTTAAGATGTTTATTTAGCATTCTGTATTAAGAAATTTGTAATGCTGTGTACTGCACATCCTTTCCTACTGTCCAGTACCTACCTAGCAGTTGGTTAGATAGTTGACTGAACACGTTTTATGAGAACCGATTTCCAGATTGTCAACAACTGACTTTTTTTGGTATTTAGTATCATTGACAGCAGAGCTTACCCAAGAAAGATATATTTTTTTTTATTCGAACAAACTGTTATGTGTTTTAGAACATTGTAATGTCCAGATGCATTTAAAAAAGGAATGAAAGCACAACAGAAAGAAACATAAATTGTATACAATACCATCTTAGCATTGATGTCAATATCTCTTGCTATTATTTACCTCCATGAATGCTTATATACTCAGTTTGTCCAGCAGGATAGAATTGCTTTAAAGATAAACTTCCCTTGCTGTTTAAATTTAAATTTAACATTAATATCCTATTATTCTTCAAAACAAAATCCTTCACTGAGCAGATATATAGTGACGGTGCATATATTATAAATCACTTTTTCTTGCTTTTCATTGCTACAGCATCTGTGGTTGTAGGTTCAGAGTCCTTTTTCATAGATGAATATTTTTGACACCAGCTTAAAGCTCACTTGTAGCACAGGTCTCTATCTGTGTAGATACTAAGAAAAAGAGACCACAGATCAGCATAGGATTTCAAAGGTATTTTTCTGGCCACTGAGGCATTTTAATCAAATCACTTCCATGTCAAATTTGGCAATCTCGCTGATCTTTACTATGGTAAATCTACTTTCTTTCCTCCTGTTCAGTTTTCAGCTGATCTTTTTTTTCAGGCCAAATAGTCTGTTGGAGCAGTCTGCTGGAGCACAGAATACAACATAAAAGGTGTATCATCAGTAAACCAAAACGTCAGACTTCTACCATTATTATTATCAGTTAATGATATAATGCAATGAAATCCCTGCTCGCTGGACCATACAAAATAACTAAGACCTACTGTCCCATTTATCTCTTTTCTCCATCCTTTCTAAGTTTTCTAAGCTTCTTTCTCCAAACACAATAACACATGGTATAAAAAGATGTGGTCGGGAATCTTCATGTTCTTTAAACTGGTGTGATTCCACTCCAGCACTTCTTCACACAACGGACACCTTCCAACAAGCCATAGAGCTAACTTACCCATCCTTCAGTGTCCAATTATCACGTTTGTAGTTGCGATTTCTTGCAGTGCCATTATGTGATAAACAAACACTGGGTACTTAAAGGTGTGGTCCTGCGCCAAGAAATTTGCAAGGAAATATATACAGATTTTTTTTTTTTTGTCACCTCCAGCTTATTCAGAAAGCACCATATTGCCTACTAATTTTAAGCTAAAAAATACATTTTAAAAAATAATAATAATCAAAAATGTCTTTGACAAGCACTGTAAATCTTATGAGTTCACAGCTGGTCTCATCTCTTCTTTTGACTTCATGGTGCTCTGAGGTGCTTTGTTCTTGTTTGTACTTTGTGATCTTTTAAATATTTTTATGTGTTTATATTTTGTGACATCTTTTTCAAATGTGTATTACATATGTCCAGATAGGTATATAAAATAGGCTATTCCATAACCATACAGTTAAATGCACACAAAAAGGTGAGAAGTCTGCCAAGCAAACTGAACTTCCAGGATGATAGTCTCAAAATGAGAAAGAGATGCAAGGAAGAATCTCCAGCAGTCAGGAGGACAATAGATATAGAATATTTGAGGATTTAATCCATCTTTCTTCTCTCATGATATATCTTCTTCAAGTGATTGCAGCAGTTCAGCAGCCCTGGGCATTCTACCTACTATATCAGCTTTCTTCAAAGCAGCTCTCAAGTTCAGGAGGATGCAGTTCATCCACTTTTTGACCTGTTATCGTAACATTTTCAAACTAGTTTCTGACATATGCACATTTTTAGATCCATTTTTTCTGTTTCAGGGCTCTACTGTGGCTCGAGAAGCCAGTGACAAAGAAAAGGTATGGTGCATTTCTGTTTCTCTTTCAGTTATCTAACCTGCTAGCTAGTCTCAGGACAAACATAACCAGTGCTGTTCTGCCCCTTTTCTTTATTTTTCTGTCATATTCTCCCCTCCTGAGTTCTGCCTTATTCCCTCCTTTATCTTTCCTCTATTTTCTGCAGACCTTTGCATATCAGTTTGCAATGGTGTTGAGATTTCAGAGGTAAGTGAGCCAGTCCTCTACCTCCTCCTTTTTCTTTTTTCTCTTCTCCTCTTAATTTCTTCAGGGCCTGCCCTGTGGTAGGAAAACATCAGGACTTTCTTCTCTTCCCTCTTGCTTCTTCATCTTCTTTCTCTTGCTCTTTAATATTGAGATTAATGGATACTTCATGTCAGCTAATGGAATGATGTGATGTGGCACCCCTTCTGAAGTGAATGCAAAGATAAACCAAACCTTGAATTGTGAGAACCTTTGGGTTTGTAAAGCTCATACAAACAAGCAAACTGGCAGATTTAGATGTACATGTAGCTATAATAAGAGACAGTCTCACTCAAATTCTGGATTGAAACTTTGCTCTGGAAGGAATTTGATCACTTTGTTTTTCTCCATCTCCAACTTCAGTTCATTTGGAAAATTTAAGGTTCTCAAAATCAACAGCTATCTGAGTTTTCAGTGAAATAGCCTTGATGGCACTTTAGAAGAGATTTGTCTAGAGTCTCTACAGATAATTGAAGGTGGAACGTAGTCTCCATCATCTAAGACTACTTAGATTTCCAAATTTGGGAAGTCTAGGGACCAATGACCCTTGTTTTCTAAATGTTTCCAAGCACATTCCTTCTGAATTAGCATAAGATCATTCAGCAGTTCATTTAAAAGACTTAATTTCACACTGTCCCCAAATTCCATTCAGATCACTTGTTTTTCTCCTAAGTGTTAGTTGTACCCTACCTGCCCCTCAGAGTCTTCTACAGACCACACAACTGCACCAAGGAGTGAGGGACATGCAGCAGCTGTCAATCCTATAGTTCTTGCTGCATGAAAAACCATACAAAGTTTTTCTTCTTTGTCCTAAGGTATGATGAACACTTGCAGTTCTTTGAGCATTAGGCAACTACTGTGTCCCAAATGCCAACTGCAGTTACAATAGTCACCATTATCTTTCTTTTGCTGTATCAGGCCCTCAAGATTGTGTCTTGAATGGTCTCTGTTCTTTCCTTGTAGTCTATTTTTGTTCTTGTTCAGAACACAACTCTAGTGGTTTTTAAAGCAGAGGGATTAACCCCTCAGGGTCTTGCAAATGATACCTACTGTGAGTGAAAACCTCTGCTGGTGGTACTAAAGTAATCTGATAGAAGTGAGGTAGGCAAATTACTGGGATGGGACTACTTCAGGTTGCAACGTTAATGCTTGGAGTAGTAATGTGTAATTTAACAATAGTATGCATATTCAGCTGATGCTATACAGATATTTAGTGCAGTGATTTTGAGCAGTTTTAGGAATATGTCTTATACATAATAAGTATATTAATAATAGTACACACATACTGTAGTTAATTTGTTGAGTAAGAACTTCCAAGAAACAGTGCCTTAATTTTGTTTTCATGTAAGTTCATGGCAAAATTACTATTGAAGTTGATTACAGCTAAGTTGAAACAAAGTTGTGTAGTTCTGTATAACTGTATACAACAATTATTCTCTAATGTGAAATCAGAACTTCAGTAAGGCCAATAACAAAAATTTCTATCAACACATCTATAACCTCCCCCTTTACTTTGAGTACTTCTATGAAAGAAATATGAAAAAAAAAAAAAACTCGTTCCCCAAATTCTTCTTCTGCTAGTTTAAATCTCACATAGTATTTTGTTTACAAAGGAATTTGATTTCTTGGAGACAGAACTGCACTAAGCTTATTGCTGTTGCAAGCAGTCTGAGGCTGTTACAACAGCTTTCTGGTACTCATCGTTCCCCTCAAACACCAGTGCAGAGCAGCAGGGAAGCCACAACCTAGCAATCAGAACAAACATTGCTAAGATAGGAAAGTAACTGGATAGACTTCTAAAGTTTATAGAGGGAACAACATTTTACAAACATTTTAAGAAAGACTTTCAGGGAATTAAGCAAATGAAAACTATTTTAATTGTTACATGTTTTTTGTCTAAATTTTGGAGTCTGCTGCTTGATTTGAAAGGGTGAAAAGAATACAATGCTGTGTGTCTGTATTGTAGTTGTTCAGAATATTCATCATCACTGCAATCTGAATCTCCTGCAACAGGCACCAGAACGGCAGTGGTTACTCACCTAAACTACTCAAGTGTTTCTAATGCACAGTTTTTAAGCCGAAATAAAAAGAAGGTTGTGCTTTTATCCAAACAGACAGGAAAACTTGGTTTCGAAACTCTTGAGCAGTGCTGAAGACCTGCTATTATGAGATGTATCTCTGCACATGCAGCACTAATTTCAGGACCTTTGAGGACTATGTTGACAGAAGTATCTAAATGGTCCCTTAATCCTAACTGGCAAGTGAGAGCCCTATAATATGTTTTTAACATTTTAGCAAATGCTCCAAAGAGATTTTGGCATCTCATGTGTTAGAAGAAATTGCTCTGAATGATTAAACAAAACCAGACAATCTCAAATACTTAGCTAGCGTAGTAACTTATTAGCTAATATTTAGCCAGAGGCAAGTTAAGTCATCAATTTATTAATATCACCCTGAAATGACATTAATAATAATAGCATTTTGGTTAATGGTAGCATTATTTAATTACCTATTATAAAGTTATCCACTGCTAGTCACATCTGAAAAACAGAAAAGTAATGAAAGACAGGAAGCTTTTGGTGCTAAAATGTACAGCTCAAGTGTCTGGCAATGCGGTAGTTTTTAAATAGGCTTTTAAGGAATTCATATCTAATTTCAACTGCCAATATTCAAGTAATCAAATGGTTTTCAGAATATTAAGCATAACATGTTAGCTTCTTTTAAAGCTGCAGAAGTTGGAAAACAGAATAGCAAGTCTTTCAGTCACATTATAGTGCAGACTGCAAATTTTAGATAAATTACTTTGAAATGGCAAAGTTGGCTGATATTATTATGTTCTTGTCTCTTTTTCCTATTGCACTACTCTTGTTATTTACTCAGTTAATAAAGAAGATAGAATTCCACTGAAAGATTTTATGGATCATAAAAGAAATCAGCGGAAAAGAAGTCTCTTTCTACTTCAGTTTTGTGGTCTAAAATAGGTATTAGTATTAAATTTTTTTAAATAAACAGTGTGTCAGTTTTTAGGAAGAAAAGCTGGCTGGAATGACTGAGCATGTTACTTCTCTGACCTGTTTTCAGTTTATCTCCTGTTTGACTGTCTTCAACTGTTTAATATCCTAACATATTGACAAAAAGTTCTGAAACTGTCATTTCAATATTTTGTGATAATCATTGCAGAGACAAGCTCCATCCCTTAGATTTCACCTTAGCTCACAATTTCTCTCATTTGTGTTATAAGTGATATTTTTTAATAATAAAAACAGCACTTTCTTGGCAACAAACATCATAACATGCACTTACAGATGTCTTGAATTTTAAAAGAACCATATGTTTCAACAGTTGTCAGATTCTGACAGCTGCTCCTTTATTATTTTTAGGCTTCAGTTATCTTTTTCTTTAATTTTTATTATTTTAATAGTGGGCATCTTCTATTCATTCCCTGAACAATTTTGCCCTCTTAAGTGAAACAAGGATACTGCAGAACACCCTGGTGGTGTTTTTGCTCACAGTGATTCTTTACTTGCAGTAAAACATCAAATTAGCAGTTACAACTGAGTTGGATTGTACTTAAAATGGGTGAGCAACTCAAAAGGAAATTTGAATAAAAAAAATAAAACCTGAGTGAACTGGAGCTCACCATATTTCGTCTTTCTGGAGCACTTTCAGAGATTATTGCGTTTTTTTAAATTAATATAAAACTGGTTGCATTGCCAACTTCCGTTGTTTCATTAATAAGCATAAATGCATAAAAATTACAGTAAATACATCTGAACAAAGGATTTTCTATTCAAATTCCTTTTTGGAAAAAAATTGCCCTAGTTGACAGCTGTATTACATCTTAGTCAAACTGTGTGCAAAATACATAGCTCTGATAATTAGGTTGGAAGATGCTGCTAGAGGTAACAAGTTCTTAGCTTTACTTTCTACTCTAAAGATTACAACATATAATAACTGATTTCTGAGAGGACGATTATAACTAAAGAAGGATTTTAGTATAGGAGCATAGCAACAAGATTATTCAGTTTTAAATTAGCTCTTTTTGTTTGATGTCAGTAGGTGTAGACTGAAATCACTAAGAGAAGTCAAAAAAATGCTGTTCTGAAATTAACAATTTTAAAATAGCAGGAAAAAACAGGTCAGATTTTGAGATGATCTACCCTGAATGAAGTTTTACCTATCTCACACAACAAACGTGAAGCATGCTTAGTTTTCTCCGTGAAATGAATCTTGGGGTACATGTGCAGAGATTACAGCTTTCAAAACATCACATTACAATACATCACAAAGATAGGAATAGGCATTCAAAGTTCAGATTCCTATTTCAGCATCTAGCCTTCACAAGATACCAGCCTCATTATCATTTTTCAGAACAAATCACTAGTTTGCCTTGTGTTGTTTGGGCTTTTTTGTTGTTGTTGTTTAAAAGTCTGTTTTCTGTGTGTTAATAGAACAAAAAAAAAATTGAGGGGGAAGTTTGTCTTGCATTTTATATGCCATGTGCTCATTTTGCAGCAGGAAGACATTAACTCTAGGGGTAATTCTGGATGCATTTCCCTGAGTGTTGAAAAGATGTATAGTTACCATTTGGGTGCACGCCCAAATTTCCAGTGCATCTGCAATGACCTGCACAATTCTTTTTGTCCTACAAAAGTGCCTGTTATACTGGCTAAAACTATTCCAGTGTTCCCTCTCAACCCCATTTTGGGGCTACAGCTCTATTTCCATTGCCATTTACAGTCCTGTGATACCAAGTGAAGCTGCAGACCCTTGTCTGGGTAGAAACCCCTGTCTAGAACAAGGCAATTTGTGCAACAGAAGTTTGGACTCGGCTCCCATAGCTACTGGAAGGAAGAAGCTGCAATCTTCAGCCTTCCAAAGAAAACTCTAGTTACTCTTCCATCTTGTAGATCTAGTGACTCCCGACTTTTGATTCAGTTCAAAACCGCATGTGCCAAACTGCAAACTGTATTTACTGTTATATCCTTTTTTCAAAAATACTGACTTCCACCAATGCTGGTCACCCCAGCCAATCTAGTTTAACTTACTGGGGTTTTTTTAAGAGGTTTATGTGAGCCAATCACTGTGAGAAGAAGCCCAGAGTGTGAAACTTCACTCTTGGCAGGTGTTTTATACCATTTTCAAAAGTTGTCAGCTGTAAACCAGATTTTGCCGTGGTTAGCTATGTGACTAATACGACTTGTGGCTAGTTCCAAACAAACAATTTAGACTTCTGTGCAACATTTCTCCTACAGCCTAGTCTTTGACTTTCTTAGGTCAGAAATTGCTGCCAGGTTGTGAAGCAAACTAGTCTTTTTCCTTTTTTCTTTTTCCTTTTTTCAGTCCAAGACTACTTATGAAACTTCACAGTGCTACAGCTGGTTTAGCAAGCTTTTTCCAAAATGTCAGCACTAATGTTAGTCATGATCATTATTTTTGGTCATGATACACTAAAAAACATTTTTGAGGAAAAAATAATTGCTAATATGAATTTCAACATGTTAAGATAGGCTGTTGAATTAAAATGTGTTAAGAAATCTGCAACAACTATTTCCATGTTCATATAGAAGTAAAATTTCTCCTGGTTCTTACCTTTCAAGATTTTTTTTTTTTCCCCAAAACAATGTCAGTGGGCTTTTTCACCGTAATTTTAGTTTTTGAATCAGGCTTCACACATTCTGTCATCTTAGTCAAAGAAATCTTTATTGCTTCTCAGCTTTTTCAAAGGCAGTGAAATCTTCCTGCCATAAAAGTTCTCTGTGACCATAACACACTTTGGAATGCAAACCCCCTGAAGTATCACTATAATGTGCATTTTTTCATAAATAAATGTCATATTTGTAAAAAATCTATTATGCCTTTCTTGCATCTTTAAGTAGCAGGTTAAAAATGATGGAGATAGTTCAGAAAGAAAATCTATTATTAATTTAGTGGAAGTAGTTAGATGTTCATCTCCTGTGTAGCTCTTAAAATATTTAATTCTTTAATGATAGTAATATGTTCATTATAATGAATTACATTCTGGGAGAATCTTTTTCCAACAAGGATTTTGCTTCATTGAAAATATTTGAGACTCCATTAAATATTTACCATATCAATTATTTCATTACAGCGAAGTCTGAAGTTTTTCATGCAGATAGTGTTTTGAACTGCCACAGTGTGGTTTGCTTTGTATGTATTTATTTCTGTACATAAGAAGAAAATGTGCGTATTAGGATTTTTCAACATGAACACATATATATTATTAATTTTAAATAACTCTGAAAGCCCCTCATAGTTGCATATTTCATAGGTTTTAATTCTTAAATCCACAAATCAATTCTAAGACATGAATTTCAGTTAAAGTACTCCTAAAGTCACTACTTGTGCTGGCTGTCATTAGTAATATTTGGGACTGCAACAGTATCCTGGGGCTATTCAGCTTTAAATAAATAGGGGGAATGATATTGCCTAGCACAGAGGAAAAAAAAAAAAAAGCTTTGTTTAATAACACCTAGAAAGAGGGAAGATAATAGGCTGGGAGGCATCATACATATAATGTGATGAGGGCAGCTGCTGGCACATAGCGTTTTAGCTTCAGTTTCTTATATGGGACTCACTGCTTTTTCTTCTTTTTTCTTCACATACCTTAGTACTGGTTTTTAACTTACACAGTTCTGCACTTGCCAAGTCTTCAGTTACAGGCATTTGGGTGAAGAAAAATTTTCTCAGATAAAAATCCTCAGAGTGATTACTGAGGATTGGGGGAGCCTGCACACAGACAGTGAAAAGTCTTTTTTTTGGGGGAGAGCTGATTCATTGCCCTGAATGTCCTTGGGAGCACCCCTTGGGTCTTGTGATGGCAGGCAAGACACATGGCTGGGTTGCTTTGCCAGCTCAATTTTATTAAAAATAGCTTAGAGGTAAGGTTTAAGTGGAGTACAGCACCTGCACAACTGGCTTACCACCTCTAGCATCTTTCAAAAAAAAGACACTGCTTTTAATTTCAGTTTATATTTACTGAAGATAGGGCTGTCTTCAGTGGAGAACCACGTTCCCCCTCCCACCACCTGCTGGGTGGGACTGGCTGCCACTGTGCTATGCAGGAAGTCTATGGCAGAGCCTAGAGATGAACTCACATCTCAGAATCTTAACCACAAGCACATCCTTCCTCTTTACTCACCACCCAGCTTTAAACAACATTAATGGGGAAGGGATTTCAGTGTTAATGGGTTTGTTTCATTTAACCTCTGCCTGGCTTAATAAATAACTTGGATGTACTAGGTAGAAAAATAATCTGAGATTGGTTGGTTGTTTTTTTTTTCTTAGTGAATCTGGGCTAGGAAAGAAGGGAGCTTGGTTTCCTGCATTCTTTTCATTGTTCTTTTGTCTTTAATTAATTAATCTAAAACTCCGTTCCATTCTTAAGCATCCCACTTGCTGGATTCCATCTTCTGGTGTTGGCAACATCCCTGGATCCACAGTTCCGCCTCTGAGAATTAGCCCTTTTCATAGGGTGGTTTGCTCAATTGTGTATGACAGTTTCTACAGCTGTTATTCTGGAATGCTTATTTGATGTTTCCCCTACTCCTTTTCTTCCTAAATTACTTTCTGAGTAGGCCAGAAATAAAATTGATGCATGCTGTGCTGTCATATTGTAGTGAACAGTTCACTGTGAGCGTCAAGAAGTGTTTAACATCATCTTTAAGTAAAGCAGCAGAGCACTGCAGGATGACTGCCCCACAGGAGGAGTCTGGGATGGATGAATGGTTATATCTCCATCTCATCTAAACTTATGGAGGACATTCCAGTAGGGTGATGTTAGCTGCCTTGTATTCCTAGTGGAAGAACTTACAGATTAAGTGGAATTTATTTTATTCAGAGTACCCATTAGATCTTTTGTCATTGTGGGTTGCAGCACATGGTTGTTTTGCAACATTTTCTTTGTAAAGAAACACTTTTCTTCTTATGGTTGATTAAAAATGTTAGGCATGGAGAAGGGCTGTTAATTGCTATTAGGAGGACAGTTTTTTTAAAGGCTCTGATTGCAGAAGCTACTATTACTTCTAGTTTTCTTGGCCAGTACTCTGAAGGAACTGCTCTTTTGTTTGTTGACTTGTTGGGGTTTTTAAAGTAAACTTCCATTCATTGCCCTTTGAAAATAAGAAAAAAATTTTGCAAATAAGAACCTGTTTGAAGGGTCTTAGTACTGAATCCAGTGGTTACTCTTATCTGGCTTTCCTTAATGCTGTTGCAAATCACTTCATGGGATAGTTAAAGATGAAGATAATCCCCTAATGCTCCAACATAAAGAATATTTAATTTTGTGTTTAAAAGGCAGTGGTCTTTGCTGGCATTTGTCACTTCCTAAGCAGCATTTCTATTTCATGTTCAGTTGATGCTTTCAAACAATTACTTGCACTGTAACATAAAAACACTCAGAGCAGCACTTACAAACATTCACAGTAGCTATGTAAAATGCAATCCAGTCTGACTTCACCTAAAACATCTGATGCAAACACTTTGTTATGAGGTATAAACTGTGTCTTGACTTATTGCCAGTCATTTTGACAAACGACATCTTGGAAGAAGCTTGATGCAATTTAAGGTTCAATGCAAAGTATGTTTTGAGTCAGAGATTTTCTCTTCACTGCATTTGCTGCACACCATTAAACATATACCTTCTAGGGCATTTACAGGAGGAATAAACTAAGGAGGTGACTCTGTGGGTGCAGAGAGCTGCGTGCGATGGAGGTGCCTCTGCTTCCCCTGAGAGGCATCGTGGTGGTGCCTTCTCGGGCACAGGGGAGCTACGGAGGTGCCACTGCCAGCATGGAGGCCACACCGAGCCAACAGCTTCATCACACTTCTCTTTGTGATCCCACTCTTACAGGAGTTTTGGTTTATTTTAGGCCAAAGAGCTGCCGACGTTCAAAGACAATGATTTTATTAACGATGGCCAAAAGATTCATATTGATGAGAATAACAAAAAGATGTTCCTTGAGAAACTCAAAAAGGATGTTGAGGTAAGAAGGTGCTTGTTAAATATTTTGCGATAAAAATGTGTGGCAAATTAGAGTTGTCTCAGGAAATCATACTTGTGATTCATTAATGAAGACTCGTGTTTATAAGACTAAGCACTGTCTGTTTTAAATGAAACACAATTTAAATTTTCAGTAGCTTATCACAGCTTTTGCTGGTGCGATAAATGGCTTGCTGCTATATCTGGTTGTCATACATTGTCCCTGCCTTAATGATGTGATGTTAAAATGATTGTACTACCTAGTACTCAAGCACTTTACAACCCTAATAATTCCAAATACCCCCAAGAGAGGTGAGTATTTTCAGCTGTATTTTACAGGTGGAGGTACGCCACAGCTGAGGCCATAAACAGACTGTAGTCCATAACAGAGAATGTAGCATCCCCAGTCACTGCCATGCCTGTTCTATTTGTTTCATATTACCCACTATCCATTATATTTTAGAAATCATGGTATCCAGTGAAGTTCCTGCTGCATGGCAGTCTGGTGAAATCCCTGCTGACTGGAAAAGGGGAAATATAACCACCATTTTTAAGAGGGATCCAAGGAACTATGGGCCAGTCAGTTTCACCTCTGTGCCTGGCAAGATCATGGAGCAGATCTTCTTGGAAAATATGAAAAAAACAGATGTGATTGATGACAGCCAACATGGCTTCGCTAAGGGCAAATCATGCCTGACAAATTTGGTGGCCTATGACAAGGTCACAACATTGGTGGATAAGGGAAGAGCAACTGACATCATTCACCTGGACTTGTGCAAAACGTTTGATGCTATCTTGCATGACATCCTTGTCTCTAAATTCAAGAGACATGGATTTGATAGATTCACCGCTTGGTGGATAAGGAATTGTCTGGTTGCACTCAAAGAGTTGCAATCAACAGCTCAATGCCTTAGTGGAGACCAATGATGAGTGGTATTCCCCAGGGGTTAGTACTGGGAGTGGTGCTGTTTAACATCTTTGTCAGCAACATGGGCAGTGGGATTGAGTGCACCCTCAGCAAGTCTGCCAATGACACCAGGCTGTGTGGTGCAGTCAGCATGCTGGAGGGGAAGGATGCCATCCAGAGAGACCCTGACAGGCTTGAGAGGTGCGCCCATGCCAACCTCATGAGGTTCAACAAGGCCAAGTGCATCTGGGTCAGGGCAATCACTAGCACAAATACAAACTGGCAGATGAGTGGATTGAAAGCAGCCCTGCAGAGAAGGAAAAACGGAATATGAGCCAACAACATGCACTTTCGACCCAGAAAGCCAGTCACATTCTGGGCTACAGCAAAGGAAGCATGGCCAGGAGGTCAAGAGAGGTGATTCTCCCCTTCTATTCCACTTTCATGAGACCCCACCTGGAGTAATGTCTTCAGGTCTGGGGCCCCCCAGCCTAAGAAAGATGTGGAGCTACTTGAGAGGATCCACAGGAGGAGGGCCACAAAGATGACCAGAGGGCTGGAGCCCCCTGTGAGGACAGGCTGAGACAGTTGGGGTTGTTCAGCCTGGAGAAGAGAGGGCTCTGGGGAGAACTCACAGCAGCCTTCCAGTACTTAAAGGGGGCCTACAAGAAAGATAGGGGGGGACTCTTTATCAGGGACTCTGGTGACAGTTTCAGACTGAAAGAGGGTAGATTTAGATTAGATATTAGGAAGAAATTCTCTCCTGTGGGGCTGGTGAGACACTGGAATGGGTTGCCCAGAGAAGTGGTGGATGTGCTGTCTCTGAAAGTGCTCAAGACCAGGTTGGCCGGGGCTTTGAACACCCTGGTCTAGTGGAAGGTGTCCCTGCCCACGTCAGGCAGCTTGGGCTAGATGACCTTAAAAGGTCCCTTCCAACCCAAACCATGCTATGATTCTGCAATATGATATATAATATGATGTGATATATATGATATTCCAGTTTTAAGTCTTCCTTAGAGACACAACAGTAGAGTGCTTCTGTAATTTGTATACACTGGTTGGACTCATTATCTTAATGTAGTCTTTCATATACTCAATAGAAAAATGTTGATAAGTGAATTTAATATTTTTTTTATGACTGATTCAGTTCAGCAAATAAAAGAAAATGAATATTGTGCTAACTAGTACACACAGCTTGACTTTTAGGTTCCATAATTGAAAATATTGTCACTAAACACAATGTTTTGCAGCCCTAATACTCCAAGCCTAAAATCCTTTTTCCTTGTTGGAAGAGATCTGATAGCAAAATATGTCCGTGATTTCATGTGATTTATATCAAAATGGCTCTATCAATAGACTTGTCTTGTTCCTCAGATCTATATCTCATTAACTGCACAAAACAAGATACTGTAACTTTAGAATTTACCTGATAATTTGCTTTTGAGGAAATTTAATTTCTCATCATAGTAACAATGAGAAATTTATGGTGATTGTAATTATGAAAATATAAATATTTTATGAAATATCAATGTGTGTTTATTTTATGTTTAAAACTTTGTGCTGGAAAACTGCTCTACCAAAGTTACACTTGTAGGGAATAAATTCTGTACTTTTTTAATGTGTACTGCTGACCAATGCTTTTACAGTAAGTAGGTTGCAGACAATATCTTAAGTATGTGAAAGATACTTTATTACTCCAGAAAGGGGATTATGTTTAAATTAGTAATTAAATTAAATTCTACATAATTTACTGGATTGTGAATCTAATGGCAGATTCCAGATCATGTCCTGAGATGCTGTTTTTTTATGGTTTTGAAATATATACAGAGCATGGTTAAATATCTATGTAAACTATTACTGTGAAGTGATCTAGCACCTGATTTTAACAAAGGCAAGCTGTTCTTTAACCTTGTTTTTCTTTTATTGGCTCTTCTGCCCTTGTTAGATAACTGATAGTATACAGTTTGTACAATGAAAAGAAATGCACAACGCTTAGCATATGATTATCTTATCACACAGTATTTAAATATATATTTAAATAGTAGTATTCTAAACTATATGACTTTACATCTGTTCTTTTTTGTCATTAAGTAAGTTTTGCTTCTCCTAATGGAGTCTTAAGTCCACTTCCTCTGTTCAGACAAATATCTATTACTGCTGTTTTGATGTCCTCTCATCTACTGTCCTGCCTCCTCATTCCATCGAATGACAAAAAGCACATAAGGATATTTGTTACATTTTAAATCAGATTATCTTTTCCATCTCCCTAAGCCTTTTTGCTGGCAGCAGCAGCAGCAGCACACTTTTTTCCCCAGGAGCCGTTCTCTCCTAATTTGCAGCTCACACTTCTCCCAAGAGTCTGTTCTCTTTTGTGCTTTTTTGTATGATTATTAGTAATTCTTTTTTCCTATGTCTCTCAGTATTTATCAAGTACCTAATGATATGCCTGGAGTCCTTCCACTCCATCGCCTTTGACCAATATTATCTGTTTTTCTTGTATATTGTTGTACATCATCTCTTTAAACTTAGATCTCTAGTCTTGTGAAGACTCTTTTGCTTTATTATGTTAGAATGATTAGAAGCTAATTTCTTTTTTAATCTTAAAGCCTGTTCTCAATCTCACAATATTTATTCTAGGACTTGAGTTTACAGTCACTTTGTTATCTCTGATTCCTCTTTATCTTATCCTCTGGTCTGCTCTAACTTCCTTTTTATAAGCATTTAGTCTCCAAAACTGAAACAGTTAGTATTTTCAGCCTCCTTTGCTGCATGCTATAAGCAAGGGCTCTACAAGTTCAAAATCTCAGTGTTGCTTTTAAGCTGCAGCACAGCTCTGCCCTGCCTACCCCTGACCCCCTTGAACTGTTTAACCCACCTTCCTACTTTTATACCTTCGTCATTTCCATCATCCTCTCTTAGCTTTCTGCCTTACCCTGTTCTACTCAGCTAAAACACCACTTCATCTATACATGAAGTGTATTCATATTTCAGCTTTCTTAAAACTGCCATCCTCAGTTTTTATTCAAAACCAACCTTCCATTCACATTCATGTTTTGCTTACATGATTTGAATTGTGAGCCTGTCACTGTGAAAAGAATGTAGCATCATTTCATGTCTTCATGATGTAAAACTTCACTACATTCCATTGCTTCAATATTTAAACACTTTTTTACAATTCTTTATTAAGGCTTAACAGGGAGCGAGGGAGCAGATGGTAGGACACCACATGTCTGGTAGCACAGAGGCTGGTCTGGACACAGAGAGGTGGCAGGATAGTCCTAACTGAAACACAAGACAGGAGTGGCAGTCATCACTGCAGGAAAAAGTATTTTCCTCTGAGGATTTTGTGAGAGTGGGCTACAGCTTTCTAATAAGTCACAAGTGACCTGTGTGCTGTTCCTACATATCAGTAAGTTCAAGTATCTCTCTGCTGGCTTTATCACTTAATCCTGCCTTTTGCTCTCTCTTAGAAGTGCCTGTTTTTATCAACTCATGACATCTTTGTATAACTTTTCCTGTTTGTAAGTGGAGCCTACATTTTTCAGTGATATTGATACATAGCTTATTATCACTTTCTAGTTTCTTGCTCAGTTAAAACTCATGGACTACAGCTTGCTGGTTGGAATTCATGATGTTGAAAGAGCTGAACAGGAAGAAGTAGAGTGTGAAGAGAATGATGGAGAAGAGGAAGGTGAAAGTGATGGGACTCACCCCATTGGAACCCCTCCAGACAGTCCAGGAAACACACTGAACAGCTCACTGCCTTTGGCTCCAGGGGAATTTGATCCAGCTATTGATGTTTATGGAATAAAATCCCATGAAAGTAAGCCGTAATAAATATTTTTACATTAAGATGTTTTGATTCTCACACCAAAATCCTAAAGTCTTTGCAACCACGTAAAGGCAAAATGAAAGTACAAAGTATAAATTCACTCTAAGAGGAAATTACTTTCTCTTTGGTGCAGCAGAAAGCAGAAGACACCTACAATGCTCTGCAATGTTACAAACATTTCTTAAATATTGTGGTGTGGGGGAATGTGGTCAAATAGTTCACCTACTACAAAATCAATTTGTATATTAGCCTAGCAATTCAGATACAGCAGTTCTCTGTTAATTCTTGAATTTTGTCACCGCTTTCAGGAAATGTACTATCTATAAGTGTTCTCTTCCTGGCAGATAAGATATCACTGTTAAAAACAGTCTAGAAAAACTGAGAAAAGCAGCATTGCAAGTTATATTTCACTTTTTTGGTTACTATTTGAAAATCTGCACACTCATACCCAATTTCTGTGTTCCAGCTAAGAAACTAGTCATAAGGAGTGTGTAAGAAGCCTGAAACTGAGTATGATGTTAATGTGTGAAACTAAGTAGAACTAGTTACCTGTGGCTGATAAAGAGAGGAAAGCTATCTTTTTTTATATATATAAGTACATGTTTTTATTCATATAGAAAATATCGTCTTGTTTGTTGACACAGAAACATTACTCTTCATATAAAACTCCATAGGTTTTCCACAAAGGAAAATGAAAGCCACATTACTTTAAGTGAGCAATAATGCTTATTTCTATATGCTGGTATTTTGTTTTACATGTAGGGGATTTTGCGTTATATATGAGTGCAGTTAAACTCCCAGTTCCCAGTTAAGGACAGCTTGAGCCTGTGGCCTTTGCAGATCTGTGATTCTGACTGACATTAACATCTCTTAGCTGCTGATTGAGCCTTATAAGGTCTCTTTTGTTAGGAGGACTCCTCATTAAGATATCTCAAAAGTCATTCTTACTGCCCTGTGTTTGCCATTTGCAGATGCACCTAGAAAGGAGGTATACTTTATGGCTATTATTGACATTCTTACTCATTATGATGCAAAAAAGAAAGCTGCCCATGCTGCAAAAACAGTAAAGCATGGGGTAAGTATCCTCTTATTTCATTTACATTTCTGCATTTTTGTTGTTTAATGCACTGATACAGCACAGTTCAGGAAATCTAGAGAAAGGGGAAATAGATCAGAATTTTTTCAATTTGTTTTCTAGCTTAATATCTACCACAGAAGTACAAATTGCTACACATTACATACTGAGAGTAGAACTCCCTTTTCAGATGTACACATAGCTTTCTTACCCATAAAGAGCTCTAGTGAGATAACTTTTTAGGACTTTGTCCTAAATTTGCATGATGCACCATGTTCTTGCACACAAAGCTGTTCACTAGACACTTTTATTAGTATACAGCAGTGTGAAAGCTGTTGTGAATCTTATTTCAGATGCAGGACCCTGGTGTCATTTCATTATTTGGTACAGCTTGTTGAAAGTTAGTTCCTCGGCATATAATGTGGCTCACTTCACAAGTCTTCCTTGAAAAAAAAAAAAATTGCAAAATTAAGCATAAATATATATATATATA